CCGTGTTTCCGCTGTCATGGGGGGGCCACCTGATGGACCCCCCCGGTGGGTGCCTATCTCCTTGTCAGACGCGGCAAGGGAGCTCTGTTCTCCCAGCTCTGCTCCCTCGCATGCCGTTTGCTGAAGCCGGAAGCTGGAATATGATGTCATATTCTGGCTCCCGGCATCAGTAGATAGCCCGCGCGGTGAGAGGGAGATCAGAGTGCACAGCTCCCTCGCCATGTCTGACAGGGAGACAGGCGCCCGCCTCACTGAAGCCCCATTGGACCCCAAGGACAGGTCCATGCCAGCTCTCCAGGTGGGGAAGGTGGGTAGACTTTTTTAAGTTTTAAAAAATAATAATCTGTGTGTTTCTGTGAGTGTGTGTGTGTGTGTGTGTGTAGAGTATGTGTGTGAGTCTGTGAGTGTCTGTCAGTGTGTCTGTGAGTTTATGTAAGTGTGTCTGTATGTCTGTGAGTGTGAGTGTATGTGTATCTGTGTGTATCTGTGTGTGTGTGTTTGTGTGTGTGAGTGTATGTGTATATACAGCTCTTACGTTAAACTAAACCATTTTAATTTCAGGGTGAGGGGGGTAGGTAGGGTAATTTAATTTCAGTGTTGGGTGGAGGAACAATTACTTTAAAAGTCAGGACAGGAATATCTCTTATCTTTGGATTAATGGGAAGCCCACGAAGGCACAATAGGGCAAGTTATCTACTCAGACTCCCTTCCGACTCCCCTTTTCCCATATTCCTCCATCCCTGTTGACTACATGTCACTGGTAGCCACTTGTAACGTCATATCTATGTATTGTATTTTTCCACAGCAATAGATTGATCATGGCGTCCTGATACTAGTTAACACAATTGTATGTTTTAATTAGCATACCATCACAGTGTTAGGGTTCACCAACCAATTTCACTTCAGTGTTGTGGGGAAGGCAAGACAGGATAGACTTTACAAGGCAAGACAGGGATATCTGTTTTGGTGTAAGGGGTGCCCAAGAAGGCACAATAGGGAACGTTATTGTATTTAGACTCCCTTCCACTCCCCTTTCTCCGGTATTCCTCTATCCCCACTATTCCATCTCACTGTAAGTTGCTTGGGTCGTTACACATCTGCACTTTATTTGTCAAACAGCAATAGATCGTTCATGGTGGTCTGATACTATTTAACATCACTGTGTGTCACAATTAGATCTATATTTATTCCATTCATGATTACAGCCGCTTTGTTCAATATATCTTTAATTTTTGAACCAATACTTACACTGTTAACAGTTTAGTATTAAAAATCTCTGTATCTTCTCTGGTCACATAGAAATATACCAATCATGGCGTCTTTCTAGTTACATTGGGAAAACAATTATGGTAACACTTATTACATATATAAGTGTAGCTTTTTAGACAAAGATACTATCAAAGTTTTTGTCAGTGTCTGTTGAGCAGTGATCTATTTAGTATTCACTACAAATCATCTAATGGAAGTGTGCTTATCTGTTATGTATTCTGAGTACCATGATTGCAAAGTTGTTTGCCATTATAATATAATAATTTCCACACATGTGTGTGCTTTAATAAATATTCTACTGAGGTGGCAATAAACAACCTTTCATTAATGGGCTATTATAGCTCAGTACTACAGAGATTGTTTTTAAGATCTGTTTCTTCTTCTTTTTTTCAATAGTACTGTTTTTCTTTTTGGTTGATAATCTTTTTGTTTAGCCCTTGTTGGTCTTTCTTTTTATCATAATCTTTTGAATGTTCAGTCTTAAATATTCATGGCACTTTATCCTTTCAGTATTCCACTTCTTTAGTATACCAAGTGTTGCAACCTCCATTTTTTTTCTTTTTTGTTATTAAGTATCAGTATGGTGCTGAAAACACAATACTACAAATAGATACAAAAATATTTAGAAAAAAAGCAGCACTATATATTATGAAAAAGCTCCAATCACATACAACAACATAAACCAAAAAATAAAGTGTACTGGTCTTTAAGACAATAAATAAATACATTATAATAAAAGTGTAATTTTGCATAAACCCATCAGTGCAATAATATGCTTATACCCAAAGTGTCTGTCTGCACTGTGCAAAAACACACGTATATATGTATAATTGTGCAAAAATTATGAAAAACCACAATAATGATAAAAATACCTTTTAACTCACTTAGGAGTATCCCACTCTGCTTGTTTCAAGGTTCCAATATGAAATCTCAAAAAGAGAAAAAGGACAAGCACATAGGGCAATATGTATGTATAAAAGAAATAGGTAAAATAGACTGAAAAACTCACAAAAGTGGAGCAGTGTAGTCTGCTCTGAACTATGATGGCATCTTTTGCAAATATGGAGACTTGAAGCTGTGGTGAAGGCAAACAATGCTTTATTTACAATCTGGATGAAAACAGCTTACAGGCAGGAAAGTCCCCCTTCTTGTACTTTCTTCTCTCCATGATAAGTGTCTTTCCCAGTCCTTGGGTCGAGCACCGGCTTCACAGGACTCAGAGGGCTGGATTTGTGTAGCACTTCTTCCAGGAGGTGGGGCTTATGGCCATTGAGTGTGAGGACGTAATGACGTCAGAGCATGATGACGCATTTCGCCGATGCACTCGGCTTCATCAGATCCTCCCTCCCTTTGACCACAGTCTCAATTTAAGTCTCAAAAATGGGCGTGACTGCCCAAAAAGTCCTCAAAAAGCCATTTAATTGACTAAAATAGAAAACCTAATCTCCATAAGCAAATGTCAGTACCAAAATCTCATTGCATACAAAAGGGGATTATTCACTAAAATGTAAACATTTCTACATCGAAAGGCAGTGTTATAAAAATATCCACATAGTTCAAATAACTTCCATTTATACAAAATATCATAGATAGTGATGTCCCGAACGGTTCGCCGAACGGTTCGCTGCGGACGGCGAATATATGCGGTAAACTTTGACCCTGTACCTCACAGTCAGCAGACACATTCCAGCCAATCAGCAGCAGGCCCTCCCTCCCAGACCCTCCCACCTCCTGAACAGCATCCATTTTACATTCATTGTGAAGCTGCATTCTTAGTGAGCTGTCCAGGAGGTAAGAGGGTCTGGGAGGGAGGGTTTGCTGCTGATTGGCTGGAATGTGTCTGCTGACTGTGAGGTACAGGGTCAAAGTTTACCGCATATGTTCGCCGTTCGGCGAACCGTTCAGGACATCACTAATCATAGACCATTATCAAAACACAACACATCATTAGAAAACCCACTCTGTGTTTTTGCACAGTGCACACAGACACTTTGGTTATAAGCATATTATTGCACTAATTGTTTTATGTAAAATTACACTTTTATTATAAGGTATTTATTTATTTATTGTCTTAAAGACACAGTATACTTTATTTTTTGGTTTAAAGGACCACTATAGTCACCCAGACCACTTCAGCTCAATTAAGTGGTTTGGGTGCCAGGTCCCACAGGTTTTAACCCTTCAGATGTAAACATAGCAGTTTCACAGAAACTGCTATGTTTACCTTGCAGGATCAATCCAGCCTCTAGTGGCTGTTTTCCTGACAGCCGCTAGAGGCGCATCTGCGACGCTGAATGCGAAAATTGTATTGATCACGCAGAACGTCCATGGGAAAGCATTGAGGAATGCTTTCCTATGGGCGTTTTTAATGCATGAGTGGCTCTGGCCGCACATGCGCATTCGGATCCACTCTGGAGCTGACGTCGCTGAGGGAGCTGTATTAAAGTAAGTAGCTGAAAGGGTTTTAACCCCTTCAGCCCAGCGGGAGGGGGGCCCTGAGGGTCGGGGGGACCTAAGGGTTATAGAGTGTTAGGAAAACGAGTTTGTTTTCCGGACACTATAGTGATCCTTTAAATATATATATTGCACACAATAATTAATGTAGAATACACCTCATGCAGTAAACATCCCAATGAAAATTACCAGATTTTACTAATTTCATGACTTAAAGTCATGATTTTATAAAGGACATGGAGGCGAGTATTGTGCTTTCTCTTTCTTTATTATACCTCAGCAGCAAAGAAAAAGAAATGCATAAACATAAACGAAATCAAACTGAGTACTCAAAGGGTTAACATAGTCTGATATTCCAACCAATAGGAACAGTCCATCTCTCAATAGCCACCCATGTGACCTTTCCTCTCCCTCTTTCTTTGATCCTGCCGAAGCCGAATCATAAAACCTTGCGAGATGACTCGACTCCTAACCGGCATGTCGTTGTCTCTTCCATAACGAACGTAGAACATAAACTCAATAAACGAAGCTGAAAACTGATCCTCCATGTCGTAGGCGTGGAGACGTTAAGCTGAAAACGGGAGAGAGAGAGATATGGTAATGTGTGATCCCGTAACTGCATGTTACATATGCTATCACCATGCCTTACTTATATCTAGTAACCTACAGATCCTCATACTTATCTTAGATTGTCATACATCACATGCTTGAGACATAGTCCAAACAACTTGTCAATCAACCTATAAAACATACCATTTCAACTTACAGGGTGGGAGTCCGGAAATCATATTGACTAATACCAACCTCGCGATACTCACCATGCCATCGTCGCGATCCTCCTCGGGTGGGCCAATACTCGCCTCTGTGTCCTTTATAAAATCATGACTTTACGTCATGAAATTAGTAAAATCTGGTAATTTTATTAAAGGACACAGAGGCTCATATTGTGCTAGTTTAAAGCTGAGCAATGACTGAGGACGTACATGTTCTGGAGGTCGAAAATGATATTCTTTAAATGTGGACTCCCGCGACCAATCCGCCCTACGTAAAAGGTCCTCCGATCTACAACCTAAAGTAAAAGCCTTGGTCGCTATGGCCCCTCTCGTGGAGTGTGCTTTGTATACCGAGGTATCAATATTCGCGGAGGCCATTACCCATTTAACCCATCTAGCTATCGTAACTGTCGATACTGGGTGATGTGGCGTTTTTATGGCAAGAAATAGTTCATGTTTATTAGGATCTCGTAATGCCCGTGTTCTCTCTTCATATTCTTTAAGGCAAAGTACGGGGCATAGATTTTCATTATGGGGAAACGCTGGATAGGATACTGTCGACATTGCCATTTTTGTACGTCTGGAGATGTGAAACGTCACCCCTGATGGAGTGAATGAACGTGCGTCCACATCCAATGCTCGTACCTCGGAGACTCGTTTGCACGATATCAGGCAGAAAAGCATTGCCAGTTTTGCTGATAGTTGTTTCAGTGTAAGATCTGAGTTTCGTGGCCACTGTTCCAGTAGGTTCAGGACTAAATTCACATCCCACGTGGATGTATATGGAGGTCGTGGTGGCCTTGCAAAACGAACACCTCGTAGGAGTCTGCATACCATTGTGTGTCTCCCTATCGGTGCACCGTCCAGTCCATGATGTCCTGCTGAAATCGCTGACCTATAACCGTTAATAGTCCGATAGGCCAAACCTCGGTCGAACAAGGCTGTCAAGAAGTGCAGGATGCTGTTCAGAGGGGCACGAACGGGATCCACTGGTTGTTCCATGCACCAACCAGTCCAGACGTTCCATGCTCGACTGTAGGATCTCCGAGTACCCGGCTCCCACGCTCCTGACAATAGTTCCAACGTTGTCCGTGGAACTCCCGGTATGAGCAGGAATCCCCGGAAAGGAGCCATGCTAGCAATCTGAGATGTCCGTGCAGTGCCAAAGGGTGTGAGTTCCCTTCCGGATCCACCAATAGATGAGGGTCCGCCGGTAGCAATCTGGGGAGGTCGACAGACATCTCCATGAGGGACGGGAACCATGGCTGTGCTGTCCAAAAGGGTGCGACCAACACCAAGGTCGTCTGCGAACGGCTGAGGTGCACCAATGTCCGTGCTAGCAGGGCGAATGGTGGAAAGGCGTACAGTCTCTTCCGAGGCCATTGTTGGAGGAACGCATCCGTAGCTACTGCATCCGGGTCCGGTCTCCAGCTGAAGAATTCCGGTAGTTGTGTATTCAACCGAGACGCAAACAGATCCATGTGCATCGGGCCCCACAATGTCTGCAGGCGCAGGAATATATCCCGCTTCAAGCGCCAATCGCTGTTGTCCCATAGGTGTCTGGAATTCCAATACGCCACTGTGTTCGAGAGGCCCGGGATGTATTCGGCCCGCACCGAGATGCTGCGGTCCAGACAAAACTGCCAGAACTCCATGGCCAAATCCGCCAAGAGCTTGGATCTTGTGCCGCCCAGGCGGTTGATGTATTGCATTGCTGATACGTTGTCCATCCTTAGGACGATGGAGCAATGTGTCCTGGTGCCCAGCAGGCTTTTCAGTGCGAATGATCCCGCCATAAGTTCCAGGCCGTTGATGTGCATCGCCTTTTCCGACTGGGACCATTTTCCGCCTGTGGAAGTACGCCCACAATGCGCTCCCCAGCCCAGCGTGCTGGCATCGGATTCTATTACGCAATCCGGGACGTTGCCAAAAATCGCTTTCCCGTTCCAAGCCTCCATGTGCTGCAACCACCAGTTGAGTTCCGCCCTGGCCGTGTGATCGAGCGGTACAGAGTCTGAATAAGAGAGACCCATGTGTGGTCTTTAATCTTTGTAGGGCCCGGTAGTGGAGAGGCCCAGGGAAGATCGCTTGAATGGAGGCCGAGAGGAGTCCGATTATCCTGGCCAGTTGTCGCACCGTGAGCGTCGATCGTCGCAGCGTCCTGTGAATCTCCTTTTTGATGACTTTGATCTTTCCCTGCGGTAAGTTCAAGGTCCCCTGGACCGCGTTGATAGTGAAGCCCAAGAATTCCATGGACTGTGAGGGAGTCAATACCGATTTCTCCCAATTGATGAGAAACCCGAGGTTGCGTAACAGGTGTATTGTCCATTACAAATGCTGCCGGAGCATATGTACCTCCTGCGCCATAATCAAGATATCGTCCAGGTAGACGATCATGCGCACTCCTCTGCTGCGAAGCAGGGCCACCGGCGGCTTCAGGAGCTTCGTGAAGCACCATGGGGCGGATGACAGGCCGAACGGGAGGCACTTGAACCTCCACATTTGACCGTTCCACTGGAACTGGAGGAGGTGGTGGCATTCCTCCGCTATTGGGACGGTAAGGTAGGCATCTTGGAGGTCCAGTTTGACCATCCAGTCTGCCAGCCTGAGTAGGTCTCGCAGGCAATGGATTCCCTCCATTTTGAAGTGTTGGTATCGTACAAATGTGTTGAGGGGGCGTAGGTTTATCACCGGTCTTACCCTGCCACCCTTTTTGGGGACCAGGAAGAGATTGCTCAGGAAACCTGGGGAATGAGGCGCGACTCGGTAAATCGCGCCTTTTTCCCGTAAAGATCTGATTTCCAGCGACACGAGATTCTTGTCTGTCGAGGAAAAGACCATAGGTCGGGGATCCTGGGGGTTGTACAAAGTCTATCTGATACCCCGCTACAGCATTGAGAACCCAGGCATCGGACGTGAGTCCTTGCCACGCCTCGAGGAAATGAGCTAGTCTGCCCCCTATAGCTGAAGTATAAACTCGGGAAGCAAAAATGGTACTCACCATAAGGTCGTCGGCCATATGTAGCGCCTCTGCGTCCTCTGGGTTGCCATGGCCTGCCCCGGACAGGGAAGAATGGTGTAGGGTTCCTGACCTCTGGTGGCTGGAATCTGGGTGTAGGGGAGCCTCGGTAGCCCCGATAGGAGCCCCGTGATGACTGGCTGGACAGACGGCTCCGTTGTCTGCCCGCCCCCCCAAAAACCTTTGGAGCGAACACCCGCTTTAAGTTTGATTGTGCCTTGTCCAGGGCTGTGAACGTACTAACATAGGTGCCCAACTCCTTGACAAAATTATCCCCAAAGAGGAGGCCCTTTGCTTGTGGCCCGGGTTCAGCAATATCCATGTTGACCAACTTCGGGTCAATTTTCATGAGGACCGCTTTTCGTCTCTCAGTACAGAGTGCGGCATTGGAGTTGCCAATGAGACATATTGAGCGTTGCGCCCACTCCCGGATAGCCAGGATGTCCCCCGGCGTGCCATTTGAAATCGTCTCTTCGACCATGTCGAAGATTTTCGCGCTGGGGCCCAGCGAGTCTAGCACCTTATCCTGACAATGGCGTAATGAATAGTCAAGGCCTTTTTTGGCTTTCCAGCCCGACCTTCCCAGAAACTGGGCAATCTTTGGGTCCAATTCTGGCGTGGCGCACGCCAAATCAGGCACCGTTGGGCGCGGGCATTCGGCCCTCAATTTATTTCTAGTAGCCTTGTCTAGGGGCTTCCTAATCCTGGCCGCTATATACTGAGCCACATGGTCCGCCGGGAACCACTCGGTCGACTTAGGGTGTTGTAGGTCGTCCGGGTTGAATAAGGGTTCCCCTTGCGGGTCCAAGATAACGGAGTCATCCGTCTTGTCACGACCCTTAGTGGGCGGTTTGTCTGAAAGGTCTCATTCCGGAGAAGAGTCCTCCGAGTCTTGCTAGCCCATGCCTTCGGACTCACTCAATACCTCCTCTTGGTCCGAATCAGAATCGGAAATATCTTTGCTGGCTTTCGCCCAATTCCATGACCACACCGCTTTTGCCTGGTCTTTGCAATAGCCTTGCGACCGCTAAGGGGGGCAGGCTCATCGTTTGGGGCCTTGGAGCTGTGGTCACCGGAGCCATGGCCGGACGCCATAATGGCGTGGCTGATGGATTGAGTCAGATTATGTGACATCGCCCCCATAGCCGTGTATATAGCTTGTGTGACCGATTTTGCCATGGTCACGTCAAGCAGGGAGTGAAACTCCTCTAAATTTAATTGCTCAACCGACCTCACATCCTCCCTCTGAGGGAGAGTAGGTTGCGGGACCAGTGACCCACGGGGAGTGGCGCCCAAGCTACTGGTAGGCATAGTGGCCCTCTCTTGGTCTGTGGGATGCTGCATGGCAGGGAAATACAAAAGTGAAGAAAACACCTTATGGCACTTTAAAAAATAAAATTAGGTGATGGCCCTTTAAGGCACCCTGTGTAGCAAGAAAGAAGTGTGAATGCTGATGACACTAGCAAGTCACCTGGTTGCAAGGTTCAGGGGGAGAAAAAATCCACTGAGCTCTAAGTAGTAAGAGACTAACTGGCAGGTGTGAGGGTAAGGCACAAACAAGCTGTCAGCTTACCTAGTGTTCCCTCCAGAATGGAAGCAGAGGGGGAACACCAGGGAGCTGGCAGTTGCGGCCGACACCCACTCCGAACGCTCCCGCCCTCCAGGGGGCTGGGAGTGTTGGGTGAAAAGCGCGGGAACCTGACCCGCCGAAATTCCGGCCAAATATGGCCGCCGCTCTGCGGCTGCTACTGCGGAGATCAGCCGGGGAAGCCGCGATGAGTGCAGGCGCGGGTAATAAGCTACCCGACAGGGTGGGACGGGAACGAGGGCGCACTCCAAACGGAGGATGAGGGCGGAGAGCCCAGGCATGTGAATGCTGGCCCCCTCAGTCACCCCCACAGGCACACAGAAAAAAATAAACACACACGCTGAAAAATGAAATTAACCATCTAAAAACATAATCACAGACAAGTGAATCAAAACAGATAAGTACAAATGGTAGAAACACAGTATGAACAAACAATGATTAGTGAGAGCTAAAATGTAGGTTGATACTTAGCTGAGGCAGCAGCAAAGAAAGAGGGAGAGGAAAGGTCACATGGGTGGCAATTGATAGATGGACTGTTCCTATTGGTTGGAATATCAGACTATGTTAACCCTTTGAGTACTCAGTTTGATTTCGTTTATGTTTATGCATTTCTTTTTCTTTGCTGCTGAGGTATAATAAAGAAAGAGAAAGCACAATATGAGCCTCCGTGTCCTTTAATAAAATTAAATACGAAATAGCAGCAAGAATGTATCAAAATGTTAGTCCAAAGTCCAAAATGTAACAGCTCATACAAATGATATGCAGAAAATCCCTGCTATGGAAACAGCCAGGAAGCCTTTATTTTTCATTCTACTGCATGAGGTGTATTCTACATGAATTATTGTGTGCAATATATATATATATATATATATATATATATATATTTATTTATTTATTTATTTCCAACTACTCATCGTTTAGTCGACATACCCGTCAGACCATTTAGTTTGCTGCTATTGATTTATCCAGCCACTCTATTTATATATATATATATATATATGTGATAGACTATTTCGTTCAATGCTACTAATTTATTTATTTATTCATTCTGTATCTATAATTGTATCTACTCCTGGTATATGTACTAGATTTTGGTCTTTTTACATATGATTTTTTTTTTCATCTTCAGCATTGAGTGTGTGCTGTTCTATTACCAGTTGTTTAAGAGATACATTGATACTTGACCATTTTTGTCTTTTCCTTCCCCTATATAACTAAGAGAGATTATTCCACTAGTGTTATATTTTTTTTTATCTATTAATAATGAACATCTGTTCTCCACATATTGTTTTT